TTGCTATGAGTATGGTGCTTATCAGTTTAAAGTTGTCCTGGAACGTCTTATACCAGGCATATATATCAAAATGGTTGCTTTTGGAAAGACTCCTACAGAGGTAAATAAAGGGTCTATGGTCACACCAGCAATATCTTCTCCTCATCTTTCTATTGTTAGGATTCATACAACAGTTTCTTTCTTGATTCTAATAAACAGGTTGAACTAGCTTGTGATTTACTATCATCAGATGAGATGTTAGCTAATGGTTTTAATGCAATGGGTTTCTCCCAGGGATCACAATTCCTGTAAGTATTGTCTGCCAAATTTTGTAAAAATTAAAAGGAGAGATTTCTCCATTTTAAATGTATTATGATAGTGTACATGTACTTATATTGTGCAGAACGTTTTTACAACCTTTTAAAGTTGCTTCAAAATTGGACTAAAGTCCCTGTACTATAGTACAGGGTTTTTTGGCTAAATTTCGCCAAAAATGAAAAGAAGACAATTTTTTATTTTTATAATTTTTCCTGATGCATATACATGTACTTATATTGTGTAGAAAGTTTGAGCTGATTGCGATCAAAATTGGATATTTTATAGTGATGAAATGAATAGTATTTTTCACTATTCAAATTATTGGCATGCTAAACGAATGAATATTCGAATATTTTAACTATTATTGCCGAATGATTAAAAACTACCTTTTTGGTGTTAATCTTATCAAAATAAACCCAAACAGGGCTTTTTAGAGATTGAGAACCACTTCCATGGCTATAGCATCAGTATTTAGCAAGTTGGTAACCAAGAAATTGGCTAAGAAAGCCAAAGAAAGCCTCGAAGAAAGCAGCTGTACAGGCAGCATGCAGTGGGCGTGGCTATTAATTATTGCAATAATCATTAATAATTTTATTCGAATAGCAAAAAAAACTATTCGAATATTGCTATAAAAATTATAAACGAACGAATATTCGAATATCTCACTATTCGTTTCAGCACTAATATTTTATAAATTTTAAAAGTTGTTCCAAAAGCCAAGTACACATACCGTAGGGCACCTTTTATTGAGGGCTGTAAATTTCGCGAACTTGCCTAAAAATCTATTTTGCGAATTTAATTTTCACAAATTTATGTCGTCTGCCATATTGTATTGTAATAATTTGATTTTCGCGATTGTTCAAATTGCGAAATCCACGAAATTTACAGCCCTCAAAAAAGGCACCCTACTGTTCTATTCAGTTACTATTACCACTATTGTACTATTACCCACTGTATACTGTAATGTACTGACATAGTGACATTTTGTTTTATTATAGACGTGCACTAGTCCAGAGATGTGGCTCTGTAAAGATATACAATTTGATATCACTGGGTGGACAGCATAATGGGGTTTATGGTTTTCCGTTTTGCCCAGGGAGCAGTAGCATATTGTGCCATTTGTTTAGAAGATTCTTAGGAATGGGAACATATTTATCATTCATACAAGACAAGTATATTAATGAATACACATGGTGTCACTTTTTGGTTTAGCTTAGTTCAAGCACAGTACTGGCATGATCCTTATGATGAAGAATCTTATGCTCTTGATTGTGAATTTTTATCTGACATTAATCAAGAACTAGTGAGGGAGGATTATGTCATCATGTTGTTAGTTATGTTATCATTGCTTTTTCCTTCTTTCTTGGTCTCTGCTTGTATGTATATGCTCAGGTGTTCAAACCATCTTATAAAGAAAGATTTTCCAATATTAGTAACTTTGTACTAGTCAAGTTTGAATACGACATGATGGTGGAACCAAAAGAAACTGAGGTATCATAAATAGAGATGTACCGATAATCGGATTGGCAATTTGGGATATCAGATATCAGCTTATTGGCCTGTTTTTATAGTATCGATTATCAGTTTATTTGCATGCATCTTGCAGATACAGCAAAACATGGTCATAAGCATGAGAATAAAGGGTTAATTAATTAATATTAAGACATTATGAGCTAGAAAAGATGTCAAAATGATTCTATAACTGGGACTACTTAAAAATTAGTCAAGATACTAAATTGTGAAGTGTATACATGTAAGTCACATTGTACATGTGTAAATTAGTGCCTAAAAGGTAGGAAGGAAAATATTGGATTGGTATTGGTATCGGCCAGTATTGGCTAGTTAATATCGGCATATTGGAATATTAGCTAAATCCCATAATTGGTACATTTCTAAATTCTTAATTGTGTAATCATCACATGAATTATTATTATTTCTCTTGTATAGTGGTTTGGTTTTTACAAAGAGCATCAGTCAGTAAAAACTTATTCAATGTTTGAAAGCAAAATATACAGAAGAGTAAGTTGTAAATTAGCAAGTAATATAGTGATTGATGCTTTGTATTGCAGGATCTAATTGGTCTACAGTATCTCAACAAGACGGAAAGAATTCATTT